GTAGGGTGGAGGGTCAGAGAAAAAGGGGAAAACCCTCACCAAGATGGATTGGCCAAATGGCATCATCAGTGGGCTCAAGCATGACAACAATAGATTGGCCCAGGATCAGGCAGTGTTTCGTTCTGCTGTGCATAAGGTCGCTATGAGTCAGTACTGACTTCGATGGCACCTAACAACAACAACAAAATATTAGTCATCCTCTTCATACCACTCTCTACTTCTCGTCCGGGTTGGATAATCTGTTGCAATCACCACACAAAACTCAGAGATCATACTTGTAACTACGTGGTTATTAAGGAAGAGACTACAACTCAGGATCAAGACCAGTAAGCATGTAGATAAAGCCTCCCTTTTGTACTGCAGGGTTCCTCTCCACGATGCATGGTACCTCTCGGCCCCTCAAGACCAGCCTCTTCTTGACCCTGCTGTTTGTCACCACCGAGTCTATTGCAGACTCTCTTACAAGCCTGTTGGTCTAGGCTTGGTCAGACCACTTTTTCCAGGCCTCTTGCAGTCTTAAGTCTTGTTATCAGAGTCAGTTCAGAGTCATAGTGACCCTGTCTGGGATTTCCAAGAGCAGCTGGTTGGTTTGAGCTGCCATCCAGTTAGCAAGTAGTCCAGTACTTATCCTTCAGTGCTACACCAGGGCCTTAATTTGTGTTTCTGCTATTTTAGGAAGTTCCTTTCCTTCACTCTCTACTTCTTTCTTCTCCTTTCTGAGTCTTTCTGTCTGTAAAACTCTGTAGGACTGGCTGCTTATAGACACAAACTCCTGGTCAATTTCAAGGCATGCCCTCTCCTAGCGGGAGCCACAAATTGACCAATCTACTCTCCGTATGCCACAGACATCGTAGTCAACTCATTTTTATAGTCCATGGTCATTTCGTTTGCATAGTATAGTGACCATTCTCTGCAAGGTGCATGCCAGTCACAGGGCAGTCATTGGAAAATATGGCCTTAGATACGGAAACGCTTGTTGAATAGAATTTTGCAAGACCAAATACATCTTCATTGCAAATACTTTTTAAAACAACATAAAAGATGACTATACACATGGATTGTGCTAGATGGAATACACAGAAATCAAATTGACTATATCTGTGGAAAGAGATCATGGAAAAGCTCCATATCAGCCAAAACAAGGCCAGGGGCAGACTGTGCAATTGTCTGTGCATACAATTGCTCGTATGCAACTTCAGGCTGGAGCTCAAGAAAACTAAAAGAAGTCCAAAAGATCCAAAGTATGACCTTGAACATTTCCCACCTGGATTTAAAGATCATCTGAACAACAGATTTGATGCATTGGACCCTAAAGACCAAAGACCAGAAAAGTTGTGGAATGACATCAAGAACATCATACAGGAAGAAAACAAAAGGTCATTAAGAAGAAAGAAAAGACCAAAATGGGTGTCAGAAGAGACTCTGAATCTTCCTATCCAGCTTAGAGATGCTAAAGCAAATGGAAGAAATGAGGAGGTAAAATATCTGAAAAGATTTCAAGGGTCACCTCAGGAAGACAAAGTCGACTGTTACAATGAAACGTGCAAAGAAAAGGAGTTGGAAAACCAAAAGTGAAGAACACACTCAGAATTTCTCAACCTGAAGGAACTAAAGAAAAAAAAATTCAAGCCTCAACTTGAAATATTGACGGATTCTATGGGCAAAATATTGAATGATGAAGAAAGCATCAAAAGAAATTGGAAGGAATCTGGAGAGTCACTGCACCAAGAAGAAATTGTCGATGTTCAACCATTTCAAGAGTCAACGATAGTGACAGAAGTCCAAGATGCATTGAAGACATTGGCAACAAACAAGGCACTGGGAACTGAGGGAATACAAATGGAAGTCTTTCAACAAACTGATGTGGCACTGGAGGCACTCATCTAGGCCAAGAAATTTGGAAGACAGCTACCTGGCCAACTGACTAGAAGAGATCCATATTTGTGGCCATTCCAAAGAGAGGTGACAATGGAATGCAGAAATCATCGAACAATATCATTAATTTTGCAGGCAAGTAAAATTTTGCTAACAATAATACAAAAACGGCTGCAAACATACATTGACAAAGAACTTCCAGAAGTTCAAGCCAGATTCAGAAGAGGACGTGGAATGAGGGATATTATTGCTGACGTCAGGTGAATCTTGGCTAAAAGCAGAGAATACCAGAAAGATGTCTGTCTGTGCTTTATTGACTATTCAAAGGCTTTTGATTGTGTGGATCATGACAAACTATGGACAACATTGCAGAGAGTATTCCGGAACACTTAATTGTGCTCATAAGGAACCTGTTCGTAGACCAAGAGGCAGTTATTGAAACCGAAGAATGGAACACCAAGTGGTTTAAAATTCAGAAAGGTATGTGTCAAGGTTGTATTTTTTCACCATATTTATTCATTCTGTTTGCTGAGAAACAGGAGTATACAAAGAAGAATGTGGCATCAAGATTGGAGTAAGACTCATTAACAACCTGTGATATGTGGACGATACAGCCTTGCTTGCTGAAAGCAAAGAGAACTTAAAATACTTACTGATGAAAGATCAAAGACCTTTGGTATGGGTTGCACCTCAATGTAAAGAAAACAAAAATCCTCACCACTGGACCAACAAACAACATCCATAAAAATGGAGAAAAGGTTGAAATTGTCAAGGACTTCATTTTTCTTGGATCAAGTATCAACACTCACGGAAGCAGCAGTCAAGAAATCAAAGGACGTATTGCATTAGGCAGATCTGCTGCACAAGACCTCTTTAAAGTGTTGAAAAGCAAAGATTTCAGTTTGAGAACTAAGGTGATCCAAGCCATGGTATTTTCAATAACCTCATACACATGTGAAAGTTGGACAGTGAGACTGTAGAGGAATTGAGTTATGATGTTGGAGGAGAATATTGAAAGTACCATGGACTGCTAAAAGAACAAAGCAAACTGTTGGAAGAAAAACAGAGTACTCATTAGAGGCCAGGATGGCGAGACTTTGTCTCTCATACTTTGGACATATTATCAGGAGGGACCAGTTCCTGGAGAAGGATGTCATGTTTGGTAAAATGAGGGATCAGAGAAAAAGAGGAAGACCCCCCAATGAGATGGATTGGCACAGTTACATCAGCCATGGGCTCAAATGTCGTAACGATTGTTGAGTTTTTGGCACAGGATCAGGTAGTGTTGCATACTAGGTCGCTATGAGTCAGTATGGACTCCATGGGACCTATCAACAACAATAGTTATAACCCTAATAATTCCTAGTACAGGAAACACTAGGTTTAGCCAAGACCTAGGCATACTTCTAAGGAGCTCTGGTAGTGTAATGGTTACCAATCGGGCTGTGAACTGCAAGGTCAGCGGTTTGAAATTACCAGTTGTTCTGTGGGATAAAGATGAGGCTTTCTGCTCCCGTAAAGATTTACAGCCTCAGAAACCCTGTACAGGGTCGCTATGAGTCAGAACCGACTCCACGGCACTTAACAACAACAACAACAGGCATACTTCTAATCCCAACTTTGATTCTTTACTCCTACTCTCCAAAAAAGAAAAGAGGGAGGAAAAAAGAGCCAAAGTCTCATCATAATGTCTTGGATCCAGTTTTACAAAAAAAATCTCTCAGGTGGGTAGAAAGCTCAGGAGCAAAGAGAAGAAAATCTCAAGCACTGTCTCATTTCCTTTGGGAAGCCAGTGGAGTACGTTGCTGGCTGCATGTGTGAACGTGGTATCCATGATTGCCTTCCATCTTTTTTCCCTTTTTTCTCCCTACTTTTTCAGTACTTTCTGTGTTGCTTATTCTGTGTATCTACTGAGGTTTAACCTCTCTCTTAGGGCTTGTGGAAGGAAGCATTGTATCTGTTCCTGGGTCTTTGTGTGATACTCTCTTCCCTGCAGTGACATTCTGTAATTGCCTATAGTCACTGCCATGGAGTCAGTTCTGACTCAGCGTTCCAGCATAGGGTTTCTGAAGTATAAATCTTTACTGGACAAGAAGCCTCTTCTTTTTCCCAGGGTGTGGCGTGTGGGTCTGTACTGCCCACCTTCTGGTTAGCAGTCCATTGCTTATCCTACAACACCACCACACCTCCTTTCTTTCATTCCTGCATCATCTGACTTACGCTGATCATAGCCTATTCCACACTTGGCTCTAGTTGCTTGTTAGACTGCCTTCCCCCCTGCCTGAATATGAGCCGCTTGAGGAGGATGGTCCGAGTCTGTTTTGATCGCCATTATATGGAGTGCCCATGTGGCATTGCAGGTTAATGTGCTGGACTGCAAAGTCTGTTTGAACTGCAAGATCGGCAGTTCAGGCTCACCAGCTGTTCCTCACTTTGGGTCGGAACTGACTTGAGGGCAGTTAACAACAGCATATTTGTAATACATAGCACATAGGTAGCAATTTATAAATACATATTTCTCATAAGTATTTTTTCATTATCCAACCATTCTGAACATGGAATTGATTGGTGACATTATAGTTTAAATAGGAACTATTTTGTTTTTGTTGGTACTCCTCTAATGGTGCTTCTTACGGTCAGTGGTATAGTAGCTAAAATGTAGTGCCTGTATAATGAATATTTGGAGATCTGGTAGCATAGTGGTTACGAATTGGGCTGCGAACAGCAAGGTCAGCAGTTTGAAACTTCCAGCTTGTTCTGCTGGAGAACGATGACACTTTCTGCTCCCATAAAGATTTACAGCCTCGGAAACCCTGTGCAGGGTTGTTATGAGTTAGAACTGACTCCACAACACATAACCAACTACTAACCATGATAATGGATAAATCCTGCACTTCAAGATTATGTTAGAGATTCTTCCAGTTATATAAGAGGGGTCTTAAAAGGCTCATGGAAAAATTCCATTATATTTTAGTTCCAACCCCTTCGTTTATAATGTGAGCTTCCTGAAATATAAGGGTCTGATTCTGTCTATTGGGTTTTCCTTTGGGACTTATGTGTTGAGTAAATACAAGTATACATTGCTTGATGTCCATCTGGACAAAATCAACGTCACATACATCCATGCCCACGTAAGGTTTTTTGTTTATTCAATAGAAAAGCAGTTCTACTTTTGTTTACTGTTTCCCTCTAATAGTTTTAAAGTCCCCAAGTCCAGATTCTTGCAGCATTGGACCACCGAAGGTAGTATACAGGCATGTGAACTAGACTGCAATCTTCCCCTACAGTTGGGCTCAGTCATTCATTGGAGTGGCCACACTGAACTCAGACAGTACACTCATGCTTAGGGAGTTTTTTTAGGAAAGTTAGGTTACAATTTGGTGTCAGGAAAGCTTAGGGCATACTTTTAGTCAGGACAACCTCTTTTCATCTGTGTCCATAGGCACATGTTATAAAACTCTGCCTGGGCAATGTTACAAAGCTCTTTTAGAGTTGCTGATCAATGCCCACAGGACACGCTACTCCACCATAAGCCTCAGTCTGAAGACACTCAGCTCTGGCTCTCTGAGTCAGCAAACCTGGCTCCCCAACTAAATGCCTGGTGGCACCTTGCTCTGCACCAATCTTCCTGCCCGAAGTCACTCAGCTGTAATTGTTCTGTGGGCTGGAAAGCCCGTTGCCCTGGCTGTGTCTTTTGGTTCTGTTGCTGCTGCTCCTGAACCACTCCTAGAGTCACAGTTTCCTGGCCCTGGTTCGAGGAGGCTCAGTGGGCAGGGATCGTTGGTTTCAAAGGGCACACTCTCCTCCTAGCTCTTCTCTTTTGATGCTCGTGAGATCCCCCCTCCTGCTTCTGAGAAATCTTGTTGTATACCCATGTTACAGTTCCAAATTTTTCACAGTTAACCCTGTTAACCATCATTCACAATGGAATTAGCATCTTCCCTCACCATTTGTTACCTCGATCCTAACGTCATTTGGTAGGAGTTATAAACACTATGGGTAGAAGAGCCATATTAAGTAATTCACTGCCCCGGTGGAGGGTTTGACTGTGGGTGCAAGTTCTGAGGCTTTGTCTGGTGGGCAGACAGCTGTGGGGGCTGCAGGGCTAGGCATGTTCTGCTCCCTCCTCACTCTCTTCTTCTTGCTCCACTCCTGCCGCTGCCCTCGCAGTTTGCCCCAATACCCTTTCCCATTCCTCCACCAGCTTCAGCAGCAGCAACAAGGACAACCAGAAACAGGTTCCCCTAAGGTTTTTTGTGTGTCTTCTCCCCGATTATGGGGTTTATTAGGGAAGTGAACAAGGTGCAATGGAAGATCAGAAACAACTCAGGATGCAGCAGTTTTCCATTCAGGAACTCTACTCCTTTGCAGTAGTGCGGGCACGCTTCCCTCTTGTCTTCTGCCTCTCAGCCATGTGGCTCCTGGACCTCTGCCTTGCTTCTGCAGGTGTTAACAAAGCTCTTTTAGCCAGTCTGTAAGTGCCCAATGGGCATATTCTGCAAGCCAGCCTCCTGCCCATAGGCACTCAGCTTTACTCGTCCACATGCCTATACTCACACAACCACTGTTTCTCCATGTCGCCCAATGCCTCTGCCACTGCCTTTGTTGTCGCTGCTTTTCTAGGTAGGGATCTCACACTCCACTCATGCTTTTCTTTCTTTATGGTCCTGGGATCACCTGTTTCTTCTGAGATGGTGTCTTTTTTTTTTTTTTTTTGTAAATAATTTAAAAAAATGTTTCATTGTGAATTATGTGATAGTTTAAATGGGAGAACATTAGCTTTACATTCATCCTATCGTATATCATTACATTGCCATGGTTACAGCCCCTCCATGCATCATCAACATACCAAATGGTATATCCAGCAAGCCTGCCCCTCGGTCGTCAGCACACAGTCCCACTCCTTCTCTGGGTCTCCCTCAATGTGGAGAGTTCCCAGCTCTCCACATTGTCGTCTCTACCTCCATCTCTGGTGTCACTGTTTCTTTGGGTAGTCTCATAAGGTTTTAATATGGTGCTTGCACAATGGCCAAATCACATACCATCCTATTTCACAGAACATATTATAGATATTAAATGACGTTTCTGTATTGGGAAATATATGGTAAGTTTCCAGTGATTGACTTTTGCATTTTTGCTATGACTTAGAAATTGTTTCTAGTTTATGAGCAAATATGTGGATCAGGGTTCTAACTTCCCTTCATTTGATGTGGGTGGATGCCCATGGCTCAAGCCTAATTGAAATGATTATCATTGCCTATGAAGTAGCTGTATGAGCTTCTCTGTTGAAGCAGCAGATCAAGGATTGACCTCAGTGTTTTGTGACCTTGAGTAGGCATTGATAAGCTGCTGTGCAGGTGTGGCACTTCCCTAGAATACCGAGAACTAGGGAGGCCCCGGGATAGGATTTGTATTTCTAGGTGTCATTAATTTTTTCCTTATATCCATTCTTAGGAAAGGCCTTTGGCTATGCCAGCAGTCGAACATTCTGATCTGCTGTCTTCCCCATTGGAGAAAGGACCTAAGGGTAGAACCAAGAATGTTCTTAGCTTGTTTGATGAGGAGGAAGATAAAACTGAAGATGAAAGCAGAATTCGAGCTCCACAGACAGAAGCAGGAAAGGTAAGCAAAAAGCAAATAAAAGTTTAGGTGTATGGAAGGATTAAATAATCTCAATTTGTGATGTCAGTTCTATCCTTTGCTGGAGAAACCTTAGCCTTTAGTACAGATAGTGATTCTCTTTAGTCATAGATGTGTGGGGCTCTACATCAGTATGTTGTTGTTAAGTGTCGTTGAATCGATTTTGACCCACAGCGACCCTGTATAGGGTTTCCAAGGAGCAGTTGGTAAGCTTGAACCACTCACATTGAAGTTCTGACGACTTTGCAGTCTGACACATTAGCCCACAGCGCCACACCAGGACTCCCTATGTCAGTTTACCTTCCCCAAATAACCTTGCTGTCAAGTGGATTATAATTCCCCCTTCTTCACTTGGATTTTTGTGCCTTCTATAAACCCTTTGCCCCTTGCTCAGCTGTGTTGTTGTTAAGTGCCATGGAGTTGGTTCTGATTCATAGCAATCCTATGCACAATAAAGCAAAACGCTGCCTGGTCCAGTTTCATTCTCACAGTTGTTGTCATGTTTGAGTCCAGTGCTGCTGCCTCTGTGTCAGTCCATCTTGTTACAGGTCTTCCTCTTTTTCACTGACCTTTAGCTTTACGTAGCATGATGTCCTTCTCCAGGGACTGTTTCCTCCTGATAACACGTTCAAAATATGAGACATGAAGTCTTGCCATCTTGTTTTCTAAGGAGCATTCTGACTTCACTTCTTCAAGATAGATTTGTTTGTTCTTCTGACATTCCATGGTAATATGGCCTTGGTGATAGAAATGATGCTGGAAATCACATAATGTTATTTTACAAGACCAACGACTTATTTATTACAAATACTTTTTTAAATCAATAATGTCAAATCCTAGAAACCTTTCTTAACCATAACTATCAAACTGTGCAGCTGTTGTGTCTTGACATGTTCTCCATCTAGAGATGTCTGTATACTTCCGAAGACAGCATTTCCATTTCACTAATCCTTCCTCTAAGAATTCTGCACTCTTTGATTTATACCACGTCAAAGCAGCAGTTGTGGCCTCCTCACAAGGTTCTTTGAGTTTGGGGAATAACAACAACAGAACATCTAAAGAGGCATAATCAAGGTTATAGAGTTGATGGAGAAAGGTCTCCCAATGAAATTATTTTTATTTTTTTGCTGTTGTTCTTGATATTTATTAATAGTAGCATTGGTCACACAGTTTGAAAACTACCCACAAGAAAAGACAGAGCTTAGGCACCATGCTTTAAAAATGAGACATCTGAAAACCAAGATTAGATACTGCTTATAAAGATAGGTGTAAGTTCAAACCATAGGTGCTGAAGAAGAAGAAGGTAATTTGAGATGGGAAACTGGATAGAGAACTGTAATACCAAGTTTTGTAAAGGAGCAAGGGTGATAAAATGAAAGGATCAGCTTTTTAAGACTACAGTAGTCGTTTTGAAGAAGTGAGTCGTTTGATGCGGCTTAGAATGGAAACCCAGATACATGCATTTAAGAATTTCAGGTTGAGAACTCATTGTCTTGGCAACCTTTTCTGAAGGGAACTTGTGTAAGAAAATAAGATTCACTTGACTACACCTTCAAAATATTCTTCAGTGGAAAACTTACACTATAGTGAAATAATTAAATGCAGAATTCCAAAATCATAATTTATTGCTGCAATGCCTTGAGATAGCACTGAAGTTGCAGGTCTGTCATCTCTTCCATTAGAAGATATTACTTCTCAAAATCTATGATTCATAAGGAGAACACTATCTAGCTTTGAATAATTTTTGTTGACACTTGAGATTCTTAACAGTGAACATCTGTATAAATTTTTTGCATGCAGTAAATCATCTAGCATAACATTCATATGAAGTCAAAGTAACACACACCATTTAAACAAATACCTATATTTTCGTCTACTCACAATCACATAAAACTACCAAGGTCATATATAAGTTATTAGGTATACTATATGGAAAAGTTATTATTATTTTTTTAATTTAAGGTTTTTATTGTGGATTGAGTGAAAGTTTACAGGGCAGAGCATCAGTTTTACATTCAATAAATCATACATCTTGTATTATTACAATGATTAGAATCCCCTCCATGTACCATCAGTTATACCAGTATTTCTCTCTGTTCACGTTAGCTTTTTTTTAAAAAAAAAACTCAGGCATATTTAATAATTTACACCACCAATGAGCACATTCTGCAAGTCTGCCTCCTGGCTGCCAGCACTCAGTCCCTCTCTTTCCATGAATCTAGAGTCCTCAGCTGCTCCCTGTCTCCATGCCCCCATCTCTGCCTCCATCTCTGATGTCACTGCTTCTCTGGATAAGGTCTCTCATTCTGCTTGTGCTCTAATCCCTTGATGGTCCTAGGGTCCTCTGTTTCTGGACTGTGAGATTAAACACTCTCCTGTTTTTGTTACAAAACTTCTACCTCTACAATTGTGAGAGTCGCAATTAGTCATGACCAATAAAATTCTTGTTGGATAGTTCTTGCTACCCTAGGAGAATGAACAGGCGCGTTGTTGTGATGGGAAAAAATTCCTTGGTGCAGCTTTCCTGGTCTTTTTCTCACCGGTACTGTTTTCAGTTTTTAAAAAATACTTTGTTCTAATAAGCCCCCATGATTGTCCTGTGTCCTTCAAGAAAATCTATTAAGATTATTCCATTGGAGCTCTCCAAAAAGTCACCATAATCTTCTGTGCTGACTTGTCTGCCTTGAATTCAGTTGACCCAAGAGCCACTGTTTCAGTTGGACCTTGCTGTCTGGACCATACTGGTAAATCTTAAGACTCTTCCCGGTTACAGTTCATTCCATAAAATCGTCATCAGCTTTGATCTTGTTTAAAAGACTGATGGAAAGATCTTTGATCTTTGTGTAACACTTTTGGCACCCATGGAGCTGAAAGCTTGCTGAGGCCAAGATGTTTACTTAAAATTAAAAATAACAAACTATGAGATTGCCACTTCAGTAGCTATAACATTAATGGTAACTCTGCAGTCTCCCACTAGTTTCTGAAATTCAGCACAATTTCTTCATTTGTCGAGCTTGAGAGTCTCTTCTCTTGGCTCATCTTTGTGGTCTTCCCAGTCTTCTTTAAAATGCTTGATGCATCTAAAAACTATTGCTTTATGTGGGGCAGAATTTCTGTCACTTGTTTCAAGGATTTGGGAAGATGTTCCTGTGAATTTTCTTAAAAGTTTGATATTAGCCATGAGCTCGAATATTTTTTTCCCCATGGCACAAAAAGTGTCCTTTTTACTCTTTTTTTGAAGGTAGCCTAACAAGACGAAGAGAAGTGTATTCCTGAGAGAATTTGTCTTTTGCAGCTATCCAGGATCATAGGGACATATTTAAACACATTCTGTTTGGAATAAAACCACACATGTATGAACTGGAACCTACTATTTTTGGACTTACTCTCATATGTACTGTCTGTGTGGTGCTGTAGGATAAGTACTTGACTTTTAAACACAAGGTTGGTGGTTCAAACCCACCAGCCACTCCTTGGAAAACCCCACTGAGTCCAACCAATTCACATTCTGTTGGATCACCTGACTGTGGAATGAGCACAAATCCGGATCTCGTCCAGTCAGTTGGCCAGGTAGTGGTTGGTCTTCCAAATTTCTTCACAGAGATGAGTGAGTGCTTCCAGTGTTATATCAGTTTGTTAAAAGATTTCCATTTGTGTTCCATCAGTTCCCGGTGCCTTGTTCTTTGCCAACGCTTTCAGTGCACTTTGAACTTCTTCCTTCAGGATCACTGGCTCTTGACTACAACATATGCAAATATGCTTTCCACTTATCTTGACAGTTGTACTGTTGTATTCCATTGTATGAGTGTATTTGAATTTCTACTAATGGGTACTTAAGATGTGTCTAGGCTTTTGCCTTTGTATCAAAGTTGCAGAGGACATCTTTTTTGTGTCCTTCTGTGAATGCTTTTCCGATTTTCTTGAAATAATTTTTTGCAAGTTTTAAATATGGGTGACTTTTCTTCTTTTTTCCCCAGAATCACAGTCCTGATCCCTACCCCAAGACCACAGGTGTCTTTCAGGATGAAGAGCTCCTTTTCAGTCACAAACTACAAAAGGACAATGATCCAGATGTTGACCTTTTCTCTGGCACAAAAAAAACCAGGGTTAGTTTTCCACGTTATGACTTGGCAATTATGTTAGATATTGTTTCAGCAGAATCTAATTGTTACGTAACCTCTTTTTATAAATTGTTTTTGTTTTGGGTATTGAATTTGAGTTTTATGTATTTCTTCTAGTTGTTAGAACCAAGTGCTGGGAGCCTATTTGAAGATGATGATGATGATGATCTTTTCAGCTCTGTCAAGTCCCAACCTTTGGTACCAACCTTTTGTTCTAGATAATGGGGCGTGTGGGAAGACTTCTGGGAAAAGAACATAATGTCCAGCTATATGATTAGGGAAAGTCCACAGAGAACAGTGGTGGATACAAAGAAAAGAGCAAATGATGAGCTGATGAGAAGATGTACGCAGAATGTGACTCTCAGTTCTTATTTTTCCACATCTTACATTACTTAACTCTTTCCAAATCTAAAACATCAACTAATCAAAGCTCTTTCAATGTGCTATAAATTTGTTTGATTTTAAATTGTTTATTGAAAAACAAATGCTTGTAATATGGTGATTATGCATGCTTTAAAGCTTTTAATCGGAATCTATATATGTCATTTCCCCCCTGCCTTAGTAGATTTTCTAAGTACTCTTTTCTTAAGAAGGGTGCACTCTTTAGATTGTGCTTTCAGATTAGCTAATTTTGAATTAGTCCAACCTTTATTTGAGAAAGAACTTTTCAAACTTAGACAAGCCAGTTTTCTATTTTGTATCGTGATTAAGAAAACAAAATCCAAAACACTTGACAGATTTGAGATAATTCATTTTCTTTTGAAGGTACTAGAAAAGAAAAAGGTAGTGAAGAAAGATCACCCTGTCTCCTCTTCCAAGAACCAGAAACCTGAATCCATTCAAGATCTCACAGAGAAAAGCTTATGGAAAGTAGAAATGCCTCAGGTAAGAACTGATCATTTCAAAGGTTTTTCAGCTCTTGTTTGCATCTCAGTATAGCTAAACTCCACTATGTAAAACCCAAAATTCTTAGAGTTTCTCCCATGAAGGAGGAAACAGTAACCTGACCGCCTCTGTGTTTACTGTAATGTTTAGCCTCTCTTATCTCCCACCTTCATTCCATATTCCAGAGTGTCATGAATCTATACTTGCCAGTATCATTTTCAGAGTTCTGTTTGATTCTAGGCTAGAGACTTAAGAGAGGATGATAGTCTTCTTTAGGCCAGAACGCCCCCCCCCCCCAACCTTTTTTTTTTTAACCCCTGTGGGCTACCTTGGGGTAGAATTAAATGTGAGTTAAATCTGATATTTTAGGTGCCTTTTAATATTACTTCTTTGGGGATTATTGTTGTTAGCTCTCCCTCCTTAGTGAGCTCTTCTTTGGAACAGACGTGGATTGAAGATATGGATTCTGACTGGCCAGATGCCCCTGGGACTAGCAGATCTCCAGTGACGCTTTTGAAGCCTCAGATTCTGTTGTTGCTATAAATCGTGTATTAGATTGTGGCTTAATTTCTCTATGCTTGTTAATATTTGCTGTATTGGATAACCAGCATGGTAATTCTGCCAATTGATTAGGTTCTGGTGCTCTGATAAACTGTGCCTTTTTTAATTGATTTGTTATCGCTGTCACTCCTTATCCCATGTAAGAGCTACTCCTTGCACCTACACTGCAATTGAGGAGGAATTAGTGAGCTGCTGTTAGCGAGAAGTTTTGTGGTCCTAGAAGAGGTTTGGATGCCTTTTCCGTTATGTTGTTGTTAAACGCCTTTCAAGTCAATGCCGACTCATAGCAACCCTGTATGAGGTTTGACAGACTTCATTCCACCTCAGATGCGTGTATATGGATTCGTAGTATCCAAGAGACACTTTCCTTACTGTTGCTTCCATGAATTGTAACAGAATGTAATTTCACACAGGACTCGTCCGGTCCCGCTCCATTTAAAACCAAAGAGCCATCCACTCGGATCGGGAAAATACAAGTAATTATAACACTTCTGGAATTTTCATTCCCTGCCTTGTGGCATCTCTAAATGTTTTTGGAGTTTTATTTTTGTCAGCTGTTGCCAATCATTACCTCTCCTTCCCCACCCTCTGATTGTTGCTTCTTATGCGCTGTGTCTTTAACATTTTCTCTTGGATCCCAGTGGTGGGTACAGTTTGTATGACTTTTTGTCTTAGTTCTGGACTAGATCAGATTTTCTTGCCTTTCTGGTTCTATTGTACTAAATATATATTATGTACACTGGATCTCCTGTCTTATGTTACAGTGCTAATGGACTGCTGTGTTTAAAAAGAATACAGAATGAGTTTGATTTTTCTTTTTCAGGCAAATTTAGTGATTAACCCAGCAACCTTGCTGCCTGTAGTGGCTCCCCAGATCTCTCGAGCAAAGCCTGTAGTGCCTGAATTGGCTTTTTCTCCATCAGAACCCAAAAATGCAGAGGCCAGCGTGAGTTTTGATCTGCCAGCTCAGGCAGATACTTTACACAATGCAAACAAGGTGATAAAACTAGCTTTTCTTTTCTTTTTTATTTAACCAGAACAACTTAATATGTCTAATTCTAACTGTTACATAGTTGTACATAGTTATCCCACCCCCCATTTGAAGGAAGCACCCCATGTTACTCCTCTGCTGGCTCCTCACAGCTCAGAGGAGACCTTTCCACTCTGTGGCTTGATATTAAAGCCCTCTCAGTCCATGCCAACCTACATTTCCAGCTTCACTCCCTGACAGTCACACTTGGGCTCAAGTCACTTCAGGTGCCATTCCCTGAACACACGTGCCCCATTCTGTTGCCCGTTAGCTCTTGCTATCGCTCTGAACGGGTTGTGTTTTCTCAACTAAAGCTGTACTCAAAGGTCTTCACTTCTATAGTTTTCTCTTGTTCCCCTTCCCCACTCCAGGCTCCCCCCTTTGAGATCCCCTGGCAGTCTCTCAGTCTAGTGCAGCCTTGGCATCTGATACCACTATCTCCCAAACAGACTGCCAAATACTCTTTAGGCTTTGCTTTTGGTTAGTTAGTTGTCTATCAGATTTCCCTTCTTTAGAAAGTCTTAGCTGATCTGTAAGTAAGCAACAGTATGTAGGGCAGTGCTGGAAAATATATTCTTACCAAGTATTTCCAAAAACATTCTCCTTGTGGAAAGTATGTGGAAAATAAAGCCCTTGTCATCTCCCTCTTAGATACTTTCACATACACTATTTTGATTAAGTTTAAATCGACTATTTTCTAGAATTGTGTATAACATTTCTTTTAAATTGACAAACACAGTCTAATCAAATACTTGCTCAAAGCAGGTTGTGGCTTCTTAAAACTCTATTTGATTATTTTGAAAAAATCCCAAATACTGTGCTATTGGTACTAACTGACTCATGTTTTATTAAAATTTCAGAAATTCTGACTTAAAATACATGTTTCTTACATGAAATTTTAATCTAATGTTTAAGGAAACAGCACCTTAGAGTACCTCTCTTTCTTTATTGTCTTACATCTCCCTGCTTCTGGAGCCTGATTGTAGATTCCCCCCAAAACCCCAAATCCATAGCCATTGAATCGGGATGTGAACCTTAAGGTCAGCAGTTCGAAACTACCAGCTGTTCCACGGGAGAAAGATGAGCCTTTCTGCTCCCTTAAAGATTTACAGCCTTGGAAACCCTGTACAGGGTCGCTATGAGTCGGAACCGACTCCACGGCACATAACAACAACAACATAGCCATCAAGGCGAGTCTGCCTCATAGCGACCCTATGTAGGCTTTCTGAGACTGTAAGTCTTTCTTCCACGGAGCAGCTGGCAGGTTTGAACTGCCGACTTTGAGATTAGCAGTCCAGTGTTTATTCTACAATGTCATCAGAACTCCTTAAATAAGAGCTGCTGACCCGAATAGAGATTGAACCCTCAACCTTGACATTATTAGCACCATGCTGTAAACAATTGAGCTAATCAGCCCCCTAATAAAATGGTTAGTACCAGAATTCCTCTGATTCTTGTTTTGAAAGAGTCCAAAACTTAAATTCAGAACAGCGTATAGGGGCAAGGGAGGGTTTGGGGGCACAGAGTACCACCCTGTCTACTTTCTGGAACTTCAGTGGGAAATGAGGCCATTTGTATGAATCTGACCTGAAACTACGCTCAAAAGATTAAAAAATTAGGAATTCTGAAGGATTAAGAATGATTTTGTCTTAGAACCCTGGTACCAATGAAAATCCTGCTTCAGAAGTAACTTCTTCTGTTTCTTAGGTAATACCGTAATTATATTGGACTAGGTAAGCTTCAATGTCTTGCATTACTGATTCTTTGCTATGTTAGCTTTGAATCCTGTTTTTTGTTTTTGTCATCAGATCAACAACGTGTGATTTTATTCCATTGTAGAGCCGAGTCAAAGTGAGAGGAAAACGCAGACCCCAGACCCGTGCGGCTCGGCGGCTGGCTGCCCAGGAATCCAGTGAGGCAGAAGATACGGGTATCCCCAGAAGAACAGTTGCACAGTTAGGAGAGGGCACCATTTCCCCAGATTTCTACCAACAACAGCCCAAAGCAAACAGCAGGAAGGACAGCTCTGTGGCAGCTGCCACTCTGACTTTGGATGGCAGTCCTGTATCTGAAGTGGACAGAAGTCCCTTTGCCCAATCTCTGGGTGTGCCTCTTGAAGATGACCTTTTCGATTCTGGAGGTATCTTTTCCGCAGGCACTGGATTTCAGTCCACTGGGAGAACCAAAACCAAGGAGAAGACAGCAGAGGGGCCAGCCAGCCAGGCAGGGGGCAGTAAAGAGCAGAGCTGTGTTTTCTCAGCTCTCTATGAAGAAGGCAGCGAAGATGATCTCTTCCAGTCTGTCAAACCAAAACCAGCACCGAAGGCCAGTACCTTTCCTCTCCTAGAAGATGAAGATGATGATCTCTTTACAGATCAGAAAGGCAAGAACAATGATTCAAAATCCAACAATCATCAAGATGTTATATTCAAAACACAAGATATTTTTGAGGTAATAGGACATCACAGTGTTTATGCTTTTTATTTTTTAATTGTGATTTGAGTGTATGCAGGATACCTACTTAGTTCTCATATTAATCATTCTGAAATTTACTCAGAAGTGCTTTCTTGTTGTGTCATGTAGAGCTAGTTCATGGGTGGCCATAGCAATTGATACAGGTCTTGGTTTTTGTAGTTTTTAGCAGACTGTTGATGTGGAATACCACTCTGGGACATATAGAAAAGCATATCAGTCTATCTTGAGGGTTTAACCTGTGGTCATGGAGAAGCAGGCACTGCTTAAAGTTGAAGGTTGAATGAATGTAGTAAGAACATCAGAGACACTTGTTTGGCAAATGCTTATTGAACTTCTGGCTGCTGGGGGACAATGTGTTCCACTCTCCCAAAGCTCTCAGCAACAGGTTATTAAGATATTTTCAAATAATGTAAGTGTCACGAAGAAAGTGGCCCAGGGCTGTGGGGCAGAAGCGATGGGGTTGAGGTGGGAGAAAAGGGATTAGTAACGCACTAATTGTGACTAGACATGAGAGGGATCCTACCGTGCAGAGAGCCGGGTGGAGAGTTCCAGACACATGGAGTGAATGTTGCAAATTAGATGCCCAGAACTCTGGTAGTTTGCATTTCAGTAGCTTGTTGAAATATTAATTTTTTTGAACTAAATTGCTGATTTAAAATTGTTTGTTTACTTTTTGGCCAAATAAGGATGATATATTTGTAACAGAAGCAATTAAACCCTCACAAAAAACAAAAGAGAAGGAAAGAACTTTGGAATCCAACTTATTTGATGATAACATTGATATCTTTGCTGACTTAACTGTAAAACCAAAAGAAAAATCCAAAAAGAAAGTGGAAGCTAAGTCAATATTTGATGATGATATGGGTAAGTTTGCTTTTCTACTTAAGACATAGAGAACATGAAAGATGAAATCTCACCATCCTTGCTTCTACAGGAGTATTCTGAGTGTGCTTCTTCTAAGACATGTTTATCCTTCTGGCAGTCCGTGCTACTTTCAGTGCTCTTCTTCATAGTTCAGATACGTAAATTCTTTTATAGTCTTCCTTATTCAGTGTCCAACTTTCACATGCATATGAGGTGCTTGAAAATACCATGGCTTGGGTAAGGTGCACTTTAGTCCTCACAGAGACATCTTTGCTCTTTAACAAACTGAAGAGTTCTTATGCAGTAGATTTATCCAATGCAGTATTGTTGGATGTCTTGACTGCTGCTTCCGTGAGCATTGATGTGGATCCAAGCAAAATAAAGTCATTGAAAACTTCACTCTTTTCTCCATTTACCACAGTGGTATTTATCGATCCTGGTGTAGTACTGTGGGATAAAGCACTGGACTGCAGGCTTGGTTTGAACCATAAGGTTGCTGGATCAAACTCAACAGCTGCTTCTTGGAAACCCTATACAGGGTCACTGTGAGTTGGACCCAACTCAACAGCACTTAACAACAACAAATTTATTGGTCCTTTTGTGAGGATCTTTGTTTTCTTAAATTGAGGTGTAACCCATACTGATGAGCTTCATCAGTATTTCAAGTCCTTTTTATTTGTAGCAAGCAAGGTTGTATCATATACATATTGTAGATTGTTAATGAATTTTCCTTCAATCCTGATGCCACATTTTCATAAAACCCAGCTTGGATTATTTGCTCAGCATACAGATTGAATAAGTATGGTAAAAGGATACAACTCTGACACAAACCTTTCTTGATTTTAACCATTCAGTATCTCCTTGTTCTGTTTGAATGACTGCCTCTTAGTCTATGTACAGGTTTCTCATGAGCACAGTCAAGTGTTATGGAATCCCCATTACTCACAATATTATCCATAGTTTTGTATGTTTCACACAGTTGAATGCCTTTACAAAATCAGTAAAGTACTGGTAAATATCTTTCTGGTATTTGCCACTTTCAGCCAAGATCCACCTGATGTTATCAGTGATATACCTTTTCTGCATTGAATACGGCTTGAATTTGTGGTAGCTACCAACTTTTTTGATTTATCTTCAACAAAATTATACTTGCATGTGATTCATGATATTGTGCAATGATTTCCTTAATCTGTTAAGTCCTCTTTCTTTGGAATAGGCACTAATATGAATCTCTTAAAATTTTGGGCCAGAATTGTCTTCCACATTTCTTGACGATTGAGCACCTCCAACTCTCCATCAGTTTTCTTGAACCATATCAATTTCAGTTCCTGGATCCTTGTTTTTCTCCAATGCCTTCAGTATAGCTTGGGTGTCTTCCTTCAGTACTATCATTTCTTGACTATATGCTACCTCTTGAAATGGTTGAACATCGACTAATTCTTTTTGGGACAGTGAGTCTGAAGTATTCCTTCCGTCTTTTAATGGTTCCTGCATCATCACTGTTGTTGTTAAGTGCCACTGAGTCAGTTCTGACTTACAGCAACCCTGAATAAGGTTTCCAAGGGCAACTGATTTGTTTGAACCCCTGACCCTGTGGTTAGCAGTCCAGTGTTTAACCTACATCTCCACACCATTTTGCCCATGTTGTTGTTAAGTGCTGGTGAGTTGGTTCCGATCCATAGCGACCCTTTGTAGGGCTTGCAAGGAGCAGCTGGTGTGCTTGAACAGCTGACCTTGCAATTCAAGCCGACTTGGCAGTCCAGCACATTAACCCACAGTGCCACACCAGGACTCCATTTTGCCCTTAGAATCCTTCAATATGTGAGTGGAGGTTTGAAGTTTTTCCTTTAGTTTTTCAATTTGAGAAAGGCTGAGCATTTTCTTCCCTTTTGATTTTCTAACTGCAGGTCTTTGCACATTTCATTATAATCCTAGACTTTGTCTTCTCAATCTGCCCTTTGAACATTTCTGTTCAGCTTTTACTTATTCCTTTCTTCCGGGTGCTTTAGCTTCTGCATTTTCAATAAAGAGTTTCAGAGACTCTTCTGACGTCCAGTTTGCCTTTTCTTTCTTTACTATCTATATAATGACCTTTTGATGTTTTCTTAGTGACCTTTTAATGATCTTCCTGTTTGATGTTCTTTATGTCATCGTACAAATATCTGGTCTTCAGTTATTAGTGTCTAATGCATCAGCTCTGTTCTTGAGATGGTCTCTAAACTCAGGTGGGATTTATTCAAGGTCATATTTTGGCTCTTCTGGATTTGTTTTACTTTTTTAAGCTTCAGCCTGCACATGGTTTCAAGCCATTGATGATCTGTCCCACAGTTGGCTGCTGTCCTTATTTTGGCTGATGATACTGAGCTTCTTTCTACATTGTCTTTTTTCACAGATGGAGTCAGTTTGATTCTTGTGTATTTAATCTGGTGAGGTCCCCATGTCTTTTGTATGTGTTGAAAAAAAAAAAGATTTTTTCATTGAGTAAGTTATTGGTCTTACAGAATTCTATCATGCGATTTCCAATATTGTTTATATCATCGAGGATGTATTTTACAACTACTGATCCTTCCTCTTTGTTTCCAATTTTTGCATTTTAATCACCAGTAATTATCAGTCCATCTTAATAGCATGTTTGATGAATTTCAGGCTGAAGAAGTTGGTGGAATTGTCTGGTTTCTTCATCTTTGTTTTTAGTGGTTGGTGTGTAATTTGAATAATAGCTGTATTATTGACTGGTCTTCCTTGTAAGCCTTTAGATACTATCTTATCACAGACAGCATTGTACTTCAAGATCTTGAAATGTTCTTTTTGAGAATGAATATAATGCCACTCATCTTCAGTTTGTTATTCATAGCACAGTAAACCATATGATTATTCTATTCAAAATGGCCAGTACCTGTCCATTTCAGCTCACTAGTCCTAGAGTGGTGCTGTAGGATAAAACACTGTTCAAACTCACCAGCCACTCCTTGGAAACCCTATACAGTGTTGCTGAGAGTCCGAATCAACTTGACAGCACCTAACAGCAATAATGATGATGTCCAGGATAGCGATCTTTATATGTGCCAATTCATAATTTGTACATTTCACATTCCAAGTATTAATGGATGTTTGCAGCTTCTCATTCTAAGTTGTGCCCATCAAAAATGAAGATCTCAAAAGCTTTGCTTCAGTCCACATCATTAAGGTCAACTCTACTTTGAGGAGGCTGCTCTTGCCCAGTCATTATATATATATTTGTTGTTGTTGTTAAGTGCTGTTGAGTCTGTCCCAACCCTTAGCAACGCTGTATTGGGTTTCTGAGGAGCGACTGATGAGTTTGAACTACTGACCTTGAGGTTCAAACCGATTTTGCAGTCCAGTGCATTAACCCAGCATCACAGCAACACACAAGCCAGCACAGTACAGCAAACTGACAGATAAGTGGTTGGGTAAGACTTGAGCTTTAGACAAATACCCATTTCCTCCTCCTCACCCCTCTCTCCCAGATACAGACCTTGGGTCTCACCAGAAGAAAGCTGGTGGTATGTTACTAGCACTGGGTCTACTCCCCCCAGCCAGGCAATGCTCTGTGTCCACAGGCCCACACCACACTGGATAGAGAAGAGACGTCATTAATTACAAAAAAAGTTACCTTTTATTACAAAAAAAGTAACACATGCTAATTAGTGTTGTAAGAATGGCATGAGGCCATGTCTGAACTCCCCGCACTTCACCAGAGAGGAGGAGAATTAAACTCAATATAGGCCAGTTCCTCTGAGGCACAAGTCCAACCTGCTTCCACCCTCCAACCTCCTTTACCAATTTTCATATCAACTATTCCTCCTGTGGTACTCTGTATTTCTTTCCTGGGTTTAATAATTCAGTGCATTGGCCACACAGAGTCCATTCTCTTGATCCTGGGGTTTATTAAGAAAGTTAGCAGGTTGCAATTCAGGGTAAGAAATGCTCAGTGTACAGTTTTTCTTTGGCTTCATTTCAGCCAGGCCTTTAGGCACACTTCTTTCTGATCCTCAGCCTCTTTGCCATGCAGATTCCTGGTTTTTGTCCTCCTCAGGCAATGTCACAAAGCTCTTTTGGCGCTGCCAGTTAGTTCTCAAAGGGAACTCCATTCCACCAGTAGTATCAGCTGGAAGAAACTCAGCCGTATCTCCTTGGATCATCTAGCCTATCTTTCCCATTTAAGTGTCTGGTAGTATCCCACTCAGCAAACAAACTTCCTGCCTGCAGGCACTCAGCTTTCTCGCTCTATGAGCCAGGAAGCCCACCATTCTGTCTGGTGCTTTAGCTCTTGATTCTGCTGCTGCTGCTCCTTTGCCTCTTCTTTGATGCCACAGTTGTCTTTTTCCTGAATCAAGGTGATTCAGCACTCAGGGATGGCGGGGTCTAAGGTGTGTGGTACACTCCTGGCTCATCTTTCTTGCTAATACTGAATTCCCCCATTCCTACTTCTGAGACTCCACGACATATAACAACAACTTCTGAGATGGCTCATCTTCAGCCTAGTAAGATGGCAAAACTCATCAGTTGCCTTATTAGACTACCACACAGCTTTTTGCATGGTCCTACCCGTGGCGCTGTGGGTTAATGAGCTAGACTGCAAAGCCATTTGAACTGCAAGGTCGGCGGTTCAAACTTACCAGCTGCTCCTCGGAAACCCTATACAGGGTCACTATGGGTCGGAATCGACTTCACGGCACTTAACAACAACAACCCAGTTATTTGGTGTTAGTGACTAAGACTGGCTGGAAGAGCCATATTAATTTGCTGCACCACAAGTATTTGTTGTTGGTTGTTATGTCCCGTGGAGTCAGTTTGACTCATAGTCACCTGGTATAGGGTTTCCGAGGCAACAAATCTTTATGGGAACAGAAAGTCTCATCTTTCTCCCACGGAGCAGCTGGTAGATTTGAACTGCAGACCTTGTGGTTAGCAGCTCAGCTTGTACTCCACTATACTACCAGAGTTCTGCACCACAAACTATAGATTTAGACAACTTAGAAATATAAAAAGTTAAATACCACCTCAGAGACAGCCATTACTAATAGTTTGGCATTTACCCTCAGACACAGCAATGGTAATAGGTGTTTGTGCATACATATAAATCCATGCACCTTCCCCCCCCCCAAATGAAAGTATGCTGTTCTTTTAGCCATTTAATGTGTTACTTAATAATAGACATCTTTTATGTCAGTACATAGATACCTACTTCCTTGTTTTTAGTGGCTATGTAATATTTTTTAAAATTTTTTATTGTGAATTATATGATAGTTTACATGGGAGAACATTAGTTTTACATTCATTCTATCGTACATCGTATCATTGCCATGGTTACAGTACCCTCCATGCATCATCAACCAACCAAAAGGCATACCCCCCCTTTATTCCCCCCCTCCCCCCGCAGGGTCTTCAGTACATAGTCGCTCTCCCTCTCTGGATCTAAAGT